GAAGACGTCTATTACGCTTACTTAACTATAGACTTATAAGGGTAGCGGAGATAGAGGCGGGGGCTAAGGGGCTAGGCGTTATAGGTAGCGGAGGGGATAGCGTTATTACCTTAAAGGGCGACGTAAGGGTAGCTAGCGTAGCGGAGGTAGTAGCGGCAGCGGTAGGCGCGGTAGTAGGGGCGTAGGTAAGAGTAGCGGTAGTAGCGGAGCTATTATCGGCCGTGCTTAGTATAGCGTCGATAAACGACTCTATACGCTCTAAGAAGGAGGAGGTAAGGGAAGGGGAGGTAGATATATCTATTATAAAAGTTAGTATTATAGATTATAGCCTCTTACTTTATAAAGTAAAGGAACTTATTAGTTAAAGTTATTATTATTATTATTATTATTAAGGCTATTATTACTACTATAGCTATTACTATAAGTATACGTTAATAGAGCGGCTTATATAGCTAGGAATAAACTAACGCCTTAGGTAGAGCGGAACTTACTTATTATTACTACTACTATAGTTAAAGAAAGAAGAAAAGGAAGGGAAGGAAGAAGGGGGGGATACTACCTTATATACCCCTTAGTAAAAGAGGCTACTTAAGGCCGAGGGGACGGGTAACCTAAGGCTTATATAGGTCTAGGCCGGCCGCCGGCTACCTAAGGGTATATATAATAGGTTATGCCCTTATTTAAACGGCTAGCCGGCTAATAAGTATAAAGCTAGGTTCTAGCTACCTAGGCTAATAAGCGCGGGGATAATAAGGCTAGTAAGGCTAGTACGATTATCGGGAAAGGGTAGGGTAGAGCTAGCGGTATAGGCCTAATAGTATAGAAGCTATTAATAGGGCAGCGCCGCGCCGCGCTTAAGGGGGGGCATTATATAAGAGTCTTTAACTATTATAGGTTATAGGCTTAGGCTATAGCCTAAGCTATATAGTTATATATAAAGGGCCGGATCCTATATATATATATATAGGCTAGCCGCGTATAAAAGAGCTTTATATAGCTTATTAATATTATCTTATAGATAGCACCTATATATATACCTTTACTTACTCCGTAATACTAACTAAAGGTAAATAAGGCTTAATAGTACTATACTATTAGTATAAGATAAGGATCCTAGCCTATACCTATAGTTTATTAGAATCTATTATATTAAGAGCATAAGAGGCTTATAGGAACGGCTATATATTAGTTAAAGATACGTACTATACTATATTAGTTAGTTTATAAATAGCGATTCGCTTCTTTTATTATAGAATAGTAATATATCCTACCTCCGTTCTTTCTTAAGATAGAGTTTAGGGACTTAGTAGTAGTAAGGCTCCCTAGGGCATAGTATAAGTCTATATAAGCCTGCCTACTCTATAGTAAATCCGACTCTCTTATCTATATTTCTCTACCTTAACGTTCCCTAACTTACTAACCTTTTTAAGCTATATAATACCCCGAAAAATCACTTAAGAAAGCTCCTTTAAACCTTTTTAAATATATCGATGTCTTTCTAATAAACGCCCTCGTACCCTTAATATCTCTAATTAATCTCTATATAAAGGGTTATAGATAAGAGGCATAGGAAAGGGCGATAATAAAAAGCGCTATTAAGCGAGAAGTAAACGAGATAGGTACGTTAGTACCTAGGAAAGGTAGATAATAGCTAGGTAGATACTACTAACGAAGAAGAAGGCCCCTTCTACTACTACCTCCCTATAGGTCTGCCTATTAACTACCTTACCTAGGTAGGTATTTAAAGTCTTTCGATATCTATATAATAGTAACTTCTCTTACTATAGGCCTTAGCGACTTATATAATGCCTAGATCCGGGCTATAGATAGTAAGTATATAACTATCGGAAGGGATTAATAACTAAGTAGCCTCTTACTAGCTACCTAGCGTAATAAGTCTAATTAGATTTATAGCCGGCTTAGCTTAGTATCTATATTACCGGATTATAACGTAATTATAAAAGGCTCCTAGAGTGCTCTATTTATTTCCGATAAAGGACTAGTATATATTAGCACGACTTCGCTACGACGGTAGTAGCGGTCGCCGGCGAACCCCTAAGACCGTATAATTAGGATTAACGAATTTAACCCTATAGACTAATAGGAGCTCGCTTAGTTATAGGATAAGAATATAAAGGAGACTAATATAATAAGGTGCCTAAGTACCACGGACGCTACTAAGTTAAATAAGTTATAATCGACTCTCTCTAACTATATAGGCCGCCTATCTATAGTAGGCGCACGGTAATACTCTACTAAAATAGGCCGTCTACTAAAAAAAGGCACCTATACGGCTAAAAATATAGTAGACGTTAATATATCCTCTATAGCTATCGGCAATTCTATATAGTTACCGAAGCACTCTAGAGAGATAGTAAAATAGGACGCCTCTACTACTATAAGGCCTACGCGAGAACTATAGAGGGACTTAGTCTCGCTCTATAAAGTATTACGCTATAGGGATAACGCGAACGTATACTAAGTACTAAATTACCGCCGACCTAGTAAGATAACTTAATTACGTTCGCTTCTTATAACTAACTATTTATAGAGATACTATTAACTCCTATAACGTTAGCTAGCTAAGCTTTTATATTAACTACGACTTCCGGGGTCTAATTAATAATATCTCTAAAAGGTAATGCTCTAGTTTTAGAGCTAAGATAAGACTAATAAGGCGGTATAATAGAGTCTTAGATAGACGAAAATATATCTAGGGTCTTTAATCTACCGCTAGGTATTCCGACGACGGATATAGCTACGCGCTACGCGATAGGTAATAAGGGATCGCTTATAGACGAACTTATTACGCCCCTCCTTAGGGGCGGTAGGCTAGCTCTTAGTATTACGTCGGGCAGCGCTTACCTTCTACTTTATCGAAATAACCCGGCCTATTAATACGGTTTATAGCGTAAGCCTACCATCGGTTTAAGTATATTTTTAGCGGAGCTCCGCTATACCGAGACTTTAGCGAGAAATACTATTAGGGGCATTATTAGGGTATTAGAGATAGGTCTTTACGCCTTAAAGTACTATTAAAGGTAAGACTAAGAAGGCTTACTATATTCTTTCGGATACTTTAGTAGCTTAAACCTATTAATAAATACTAATATACCTCGCTATAGTACTCTTAATTCTTATAGGTCTAAGACCGGAGACCTTAAGTCTTAGCTAGGTACGTGCCCGTATATCTATTACCCTTAAACTCTAGTTATTAATAAAGTATAGTATAGGCGAGCTATAGGCATTACTACGGAGTCGATAGGGCCTCTAATATTACCGGTCGGTCTCGCGGTTACTTTAGAGTATTTTAAGGCGAAAAATTTCTAGGATAGCTAGAGTAGGTAGGAATCTTAGAAAGGGACTAGGCAGAGTTAGCGATTTAGTACTCTTAAGTCGTAGGACTAAAGTCCGGTAAGTAAAGCTTTATAGGCTTCTCCTCTTACTAAATTAATGCGTACTTTTAAGTACCTTAGATTCGCTACTAAATATAGCGATTCTAAGTAACGTAAGCGACGATACGGCGTCCGACTTATCGGATATAATACCTTTTAATATAAACTAAACTACGGCTACGATACCTCGTTTAAGTACCGAAACGCTAGGTAAGAGCACTAAGCATAAGCTATTATCGCGCCTTTATATTTTAATATAATTCGGTAGTAGATCTTAAGGTTCCGAAGATATAGTCGAGGTCGTATTAAGACTAACTAATAATGCGGACTCGACCTTTAGGGAAGGACTACCCTCCCCCTCCGCTTTACTTTTATCTAGCATTATAAAGTACGAATAAAAGTATAGCCGTAGCTACTATAGCTATTAAGCTAGGAGATACTATTTTCCGAACGATAATAGAGAATAGAACCGGCTCGACATCCTATACTATACTTTCCTTCTAGCTCTAGATAGTCGGCTCTTCTTTATACTAATCGTCTTAAATCTACGCCGTATTCTCGATATAGGTGCCGGCACTAGAATATAGGCCGTAGACGTTAGAGATATATATCCGTTAGCGTATATCCGAGGATATAATCTTAGCCCGATCTAGCTACTAGAAGTGCCTTTAAACGTCGACTTTTTTATCGATAATATTAAAGAGGAGTAGTACGAGTCTACTAAGTACGACTTCGTATACTCGCGGAGCCTAGTAGGGTCGATATATAACTAGCCCTAACTTATCTATTAGATATACGAGAATATCGAACTAGGAGGCTAGCTTAACCTTTAAGGGATCCTTAATTAACTATATTTAGAGGACGGAACTCTTTCGTCGGATAGTCTTATTATATAGTTAATAGATAGTCTAAGGCAAGCTAGACGTACGTATAGACGAGACATAGACCTAGCGTCGTTATTTAAGCGATAGGCAGAGTTAACTAAGTTCGTGATAGTTTAGGAAAGACGCTTTTCTTTGCCGGTTAGAGGCTAGCTAAAAGATCCGAAGCTTAGAGAGATTAGTATCTTTATAGCGGAGAGCTTTTACGAGGGCATCGAAGGCCTAATAGCTATTCCGTTCCGGGATATCTTAGGCTAGTCGAAGGATAAGGTATATATTCTAAATGCGATAGTGCGGCGGACGATTAAGCGCCGAGATATTTACCTTTTATTCGATTTCGTCGTCGTTACTAGCATAAAGCTAATTACTAGCTATTAAGAGGAAGATCTAACCTTATATAACTAGTATAGTATAACTAAAAGGAAGGGTTAGTGGGAATATAAACTTCCGCTTTAGCTATTAGGCGTTAGAATATTAGCGTGCAATTATATTAGCTTATATAAGTTCGTCTGCGTCCTTCGGTGCATCTGCTGGTCTACTCATACCCTTAGATATGCGTGAAAACGTGCCGCCGACTTCACGTGCCGGACAGGGTAGGGAACAGTCTTTCTATCCATATTCCATACTCCATACAAGCCTGTATGGAATATGGAATATGAAACACACCCCGTATGGAAACTTATTCCATACGTATGGAATACACGAGGTGACGTCATCCATTAATTCAGCTACAGGAAGAATCAGATGTTGAGCATCGCCACCTTTCCATCTCGCCAGCCTCCTCCTTCTCCTCTTCACCGGCCAAGTCGACCGGAATACCCTGTGCCATGATCACTCCCAGAATCTTGGCACTCTCCTTGGGTTGGACCTCTTGGCCTCTGATCAGAAACGGCCTATTGCTGTTACGCACGGTGGCTCGCGTGAAATGAATGATCGTCATCTTGTCTGCTTCAAAAGTCGCACCGCTGCGTGCCTCCCACTTGAGCGCATCGTTAATGGCCGCTTGAATACCTTCTCGGTTCGCTTCCGCGGTGGGCCCGGTTACCCAGGCCGAGTAATCGTCTATGAATGCAATCGAGCCGCTTTCCGCCTTGATTCTTCTCTGGACTAGGTCCGCGTTGAAGAAGAGGAACAAAATCGGTGACAGCGGTGATCCTTGAGGGAGGCCTGCCTGAGGCAGCTCCCGTTGTTCCGATGTGTACCCACTGACTACCAATGAGGCTGTTCGCTCAGAACAAAAAGCATCTATCCATCTTACCAGTTCGGCTGGTATCCCTCTCGATTTCATCCTCTCGAGCAGTATTTCCTTGCAAACTCCATTATAGGCGCCCGGGACGTCAAAACTGATCAGGCTGAGCACCTTGTGGTTGCGCCAAGCCTTGTAAACCTGTTCCTGTAGCAGCAGCAGCGCCTGCTCGGCAGATCGCAAGAAGAGCAACGGGTAGTCCCTTCATTTGTTTGCAACCCTGCGTGACGGTGACATTCTCACGACGTATTAAGTCAATACTCTTAATACTGCCTCAATTGATTCCCAGACATTTAGTGGGAAATCCCCGTTGACACAATAATTCCCGTGGTTGTCTTTGCCCATAATAGTTATTCTTCTGAATTTCTTTTTGCCAGGATCGGTTACCCTTGCGGTGTACCAAGATAGAATACTGCCTGGTGGATTGTGTCGCAGAGCTGATTCATTTTCTCGAGGCATGATGGCTGGGCTGAAATCGATGTCCGTAACGGCGGGAGGTCTACTCAGGTTATTGACAAAAATCAGAGTTGAGTCGCTGCTTTTAACAAACGAGTTCATGTCTATATCAGCCTTGATTCCTTGAAGGAATGCTTTGAGACAGCTAGCTGCTTTGTCGGGCGCCGCATTCTCGAGAATGCAACAGCACTGATGAAGAGCAATAGTTTGGACAGGTCCTGTAGCAACGTCAAGAGGTAAGACGTTGAGTATTGGTAGAACCATGTTCTGCGTAAAGACGCCATGAGGTTTTCGGAGTGAAGGAAAACAAAATCTTGCGTTGAGGCAATTGAAAGTGGTCACAGCCCGTGGCTGCAACTGTGCCTTGGCCACTTGCTGAATTACCCATGCCAATAACAACTCCTCGTCGTTGGGACATCGATACTCGGCCCTGCCTTCGTCTTGTACCTGGGTCCGAAGGTTTGACACGACGCGTCTGGGGAGAAAGATCGTGCGCTCTTCCAAAGACTCCTCGAGACTCCGGTCCGTCGGAGCCGGCGCTGGCATGCTGCCGTCCCGTAATGACGGGTTAGTGGACAAGCCGGGAGTGGGATATTGATTTGCTAGGTCGTCCAATATATCGTTACGGGCTCCGAGCATTTGTGGGATTTCGTTCTCTCTCTCAGCTAGCAAGAGCTGAACGCTCTGCATAAGCGCAAGTATGCCAAAGTAGTCCCATGATACATGTGGCGCGGTAATTGCCACCAACGTGGCATCGGTAAAGGAGGTGATTTTCAGGGACAGCTGTGGCAAATTCCGATGAAGCATTTCTTGAAAAGTAGTTGCAGTATCCGGCCCTATGCCGAAATGCACAAGCCCCGCCGAGTCCGGTTTGTAGACAGACAAGACGTCCGCTGGCGTAGGAAAATTGCACGCTACCGGGTGTTGCTCAATATTAATTTCGAAAGAATCATGAGCAAATGTCAGGGCCGGCCGCTCGGTGGTAAAGTGTCTTGGGACGTGAATCTCTAAAATTCCATTATCCTGATAATGATTAGTTTAAACCGAGTTCCAACGCCGGAAGGGCATGTAGTTGCAGACTTTGAGTTTCATACGACCACCAAGCTTTCTCCAGCTACCAATATCCAAGAGGCGCGAGAACGCATCATGCAATTTGGTAGCGTCAAGCACATCGTTGAAGAGCAAGATTGCGGTGTAAATCTCATGGTGAAACTTGGCACCGTCGACAAGATGCACAGGGTAAACCTCGTCTGGCAACTGTAGACCTTGAAGTGACATCGTGTTGGAGGCAGTCTCAGGAATAGATAGAGCATTAAAGGCAGAGTCCATGTTGAGCAAAACACAATAGTTGAACAGTAGATGTAAATATAGTAAAGCATAGGGCAGAGACGCCTTAGTTACTGTCACTGCTAAGATACAGGGCGTGACGTCGCTTAGCTAACCCTACTGTTGCAAACCGGGCAGAATCACAGGCAGGACCACCCAGGCGTGCAGGGCCAATTCACTGCCCAAACGCTGGGTGCAGCCTAGCCATCGTTTGCAGGGGTTGCAGCCTCGCACAGGTCTATTAGCCTGCGTGGCCCCCTCCACTAGAGATGGGGCCAGTAGCTAGCATCAGCATCATCAGAGCTTTCCACACCTACTTCGGTACCTTCGTCGGTCAAATATACAGGAGACGACGCTTTCGAGCCAGATACCACGCGCTAGCGCTTTTAAGATGATAATCGGACTAGAAGAAATGCGGCACAGCTGACTCGTCCCGAGACGTAATCGTCGGAGCTGGTTGAGGAACGAAAGTGAAACGAGTGGGGCGGAGCACGGGTACTATGCTGGTTGCAACACCTCCTCCCCCCAAGGGCGAAAACGTAAATGTGGCGCCGAAGCTATAACGGGGTGTCGCAAACCGCTCTAACTGTTGCCCTGATGGAATGCCTCATGGTTTGCCACTGAGTAGCCCCGATGCTACTCCAGACCTGTCCGGCTCCAGTGTGCAGTTCCTGGAAACAGCACAGGCTAGCGGCAGATTGTAGCGCCTTTTAACGCAAACAGGTGCCTTGTTACAGGTGACTAGACACCGTACGCCACACTGGTTACCATGCCCCACCCATCGCCGATACACCCCCCTCACCGGTACCGCAAAAAGGCGCCCTGACCATACAAACTATATCAATTGAATTGAAGCCATTAGTCCATCCTAAATTGTAAAATAAATATTACTCTGTAGTGCATTCAATGCTTAATCGCTGTGGACTGTTGGGCTTTTGGTCTGGTGCCGCACCCGTGTGTGAGTAGGCGACGAATCAGGTGGCTTTACCCTCCCTTTCCCCTTCTCCTGCCTGATCAAATGCACCTTTGATTTTACTCATCATTGGTCCCGTTGAGGGAGCCAATAATTACCCCCGTGCCTTTAAGAGGCACGGATCCGTGCCCCTTATGCAATCGCCGCCGCTGATTGGCCCGCTAGCCGATGATATCAGCGGTCAAGCAGGCAGCCAGATTCGCAATTAGAAACTGGCCGTCTAAGATAGCTAAGTTAGCAGTCGAATTGGCAGTTGAATTGGTAGAGTGACAGTCGTCGGATTAGCTTGCAGGCGGAGGGAGTGGCAGTCGGATTTGCAGGTAAGTTAGCAATTATGCTAGTAGTCACGCTGTGACGCCCCACTCCTGCAGCAGCTGCCACTGTCCCAGAAGAACAACACTTCCATCCGCGTTCTGAGCAAGCTGCACGATATTGTGCAGCCTTTCAATGAGTTCTTGCTTCTCAAATAATTCTCATCAATTGACTGATTCAAAAGACTGTGGGCCCATTGGTTTGACAAGCTGGCAGCCAAGTTGGTAGTCACGCTTGCGGGCAGTTTGACTGCGAATCTGGCTTCCCTATTGAAGCTTGGCTGCTCACATAATCGTGCTTGTGGGCCAATCAGCGGCGGCGATTACATGAGGGGAACGGATCCGTGCCTCTTTAAAGGCACGGGGGTCCCTGCCTGTATTGCCTTCAGATGACGATTGAGTTGAATTGAAGACGTTGAGCCGTCTCCGAGCGCCCTAACCGGCAGTATGTCCAGTATCATCCCCCGGACTCCATATAATGCTATTCGCATTCTCCTCTTGACACGTCAATCAACGTATCCACGGCGTCGATTAGGCCATTTCGCACCCACGGCCGTAACGTCTGTGTAATCCATATCGCGCTGGCTTCCAATCGAGTCCGTGGCGGTTATCAAAGGAAATGAGAGATGCCATGCATATGACGGGTATAGAGAGTCTATTGGCCTTGACCACTGCCTAAGTCAAGGGGACGAAGGCCCCAGTTATATACACAAGAACGGTGCCCATCTGGGTCGGGACACCTCCTCGACCGGGGCGGAATGTCGTTTGACAGCGGTGACACCATTTGCCCAGTGGTACTAAAGAGACGTTCGCACTCTGCTGACAGGGAGGGATCGAGAGCAGCCATCCGTGCACAAAACACCCCACTATCTTATATCACTAGCTGCTAGACTACATACAGTCACCTTAGAATGCCGATGGATTGGATAGCCAAACAAATCAGGGTTCGAATTGCCATAAATCTAGACTGGTAGCTGCCTAATCAACCCTCCAGTGTCGTAGAAACAGTCCCTTCACCCTACGCTATGCTCCCTCCCTGCATCGGCCTTACATAACTTCAGACTGTGAGACTCGGGCTCCCTCTTCAGGCTGGAACCCCCCCCTTTCCCCAAACCTCCTCTCCTATCGTCCATCAGTTGAGCATCTCCGTGATCCATCGTCGTTTCTTCACGGCGTCATGATGATGCCTCCGGCCCCGGCCCCCATCGCTATTGTAGGCATGTCCTGCCGACTCTCAGGGAGTGTGTCCACACTCGACAGCTTCTGGACAACCGTTTCGCGCTCAGGAGACGGTTGGGGACCTGTGCCCGAGGACAGGTTCTCCAGTGATGCCTACTACCATCCAAATCCCCAGAAACGGGGTTGCTTTAATCAGAAAGGAGGCTATTTTCTTCGCCGCGACCTCGCACAGTTTGATGCGCCGTTTTTCCAAATATCGGAGCAGGAGGCCAGAGCCATGGGTACGTAACAGAAATCCGCATCAAAGAGTGCTCTTGAGCTTATCAGGTCATTCGATCAAGATCCACAACAACGACAACTCCTCGAGTGTGCATATGAAGCTCTAGAGAACGCGGGTTTCCCCAAGACCTCCATCGCCGGAAGCAACATGGGTGTTTTTGTCGGCGCCAGATCGTCTGACTATCGCATGGGTACATTGAAAGAGGTGGACCAGGTGCCCATGTACGACGCCACCGGCAACCATCAGTCCGTCCAAGCTGGCCGCATTTCATATTGTTTCGACCTCCACGGTCCCTGCTTCGCCGTCGATACAGCATGCTCGTCTAGTCTGTATGCTCTACACTCGGCTGTGCAAAGCATGCGCTCCGGCGAGTCGGATTCAGCCATTGTGGCAGGATGTAATCTGCATCTGCAGCCCGACGATACCATCTCCATGTCTATGATGGGGTATGTTTCCTGCTTTTCCAAACCCAGTCATACCTGACGCTCTGCCTAGCCTTTTCAATGACGATGGTAAGACGTTCGCTTTTGACCATCGCGCAAAGTCTGGCTTTGCGAGGGGCGAGGGCGTTGCCTGTTTGATTCTCAAGCCCCTTGGGCAAGCACTCAAGGACCGCGACAAGATCCGTTCCATCATTGTCGGGTCTGGTACGAACCATGACGGCAAGACATCAGGTTTGTTTATCATCCAACCTCTAGACATCGCCAGACTCTAACCATCCACCTGTGTTAGGCATCGCGGCGCCCAGCGGAGACGCTCAGGAGCGGCTGATGCGCGACGTCTACGCACGCGCCCAAGTATCCCCAAAAGAGACAGGGTATATCGAGGCTCACGGCACTGGCACGAAGGCTGGCGACCCCGTTGAGGCTGGCGCCATATATCGTGTGTTTGGAGACGGGCGAACGAAGCGATCACCCCTTTACATGGGCTCTAGCAAAACCAACTTTGGTCATCTAGAGAACGTGAGCGGCATCGTCTCTATTATCAAAGCGACTCTGATGCTAGAAAAAGGCTTCATTTTGCCAAACGTCAATTTTGAGAAGGCCAACGAAGCGATTCCATTAGACGAATGGAACATAGAGGTTCCTGTCAACATTCACCCCTGGCCCAAGGACAAGCGCTTCATCAGCATAAACAACTTTGGCTTCGGCGGGTCCAACGCGCATGTCATTTTGGAGCGTGCCCCAGTCGTTGCTCCTGACCTCCCTCAGAAGCCTAGTAACGAGTTTCCTCAGCTTGTTGTTTTAAGCGCCAACGAGGAGGGCGCAGCCCAGCTCGTGGCATCTCATGTCGGCGTTTACGTCGAGAAGCACCCCGAAGCTTGCCAAAAACGATTGCTGCGAGATATTGCTTACACCCTTGGCGAGAGAAGAAGCCTTTTACCGTGGCGAGTCGCCATTGTCACGTCGACTTGCAACGAGCTCGGTCAAGCTCTGAACGGCAACACAGCCGCCCCGAAGCGGACTGTGCGGATCCCCAAGCTGGCCTTTGTCTACACCGGACAGGGGGCTCAATGGGCCAAAATGGGCTACGAGCTTCTGCAGTCGCACCCAGTCTTTGCCGACACCATTGAGGCTGCCTCAGACTGTCTTGGCCGTCTAGGGGCGGAATTTTCAATAGTCGAGGAGATTTCCAAGAGCCCGGGGGAGAGCGGCCTGGGACAGGCGCATATCTCTCAGCCCACCTGCACCGCCATTCAGCTCGGTCTCACCGCGCTGCTGTCGTCTTGGGGAATCAAGCCTTCTATCGTTGTGGGCCACTCTAGCGGTGAAATCGGCGCCGCCTTTGCTGCAGGTGCCATTAGCCTCGAGGACGCCATGGCCGTTGCCTACCACCGAGGCCAGCTTTCCTCACAAATAAAAATAAAAAATCCTCATCTCTCCGGCGCCATGCTTGCAGTTGGCGCAAGGTCTGCCGAGGTCAATCGCATGATTAAGCTCCACCATCTATCTAACGTCACGGTGGCGTGTGAAAACTCGCCTAATTCAGTCACGGTATCAGGGGATGAGGCGAGCATTGATGCCCTCGCCGTTGAGCTAGAAAAGAAAGGGCTATTTCAACGGAAGCTACGGGTCGATGTTGCCTACCACTCGTCGCACATGCAAGTCATTGCGGACGAGTATATGGCTGCAATTAAGCATGTGACACCCAGGCCGATCCAGGATGGCGTGAGATTCTACTCTGCTCTTAAGGGCAGACGCGGCGAGACATCTCTTGGCCCGGACTATTGGGTTAAAAACCTAACCAATCCGGTGCTTTTTTCCACCGCAATTGTCGAGCTCTGTGCTGAATCCGAGCCTAACATCGTCGTCGAGATAGGTCCTCACTCAGCCCTCGAGGGTCCTATAAAACAGATCCTGAAGTCCATAGACCACCAACACGGAAAGGTCAACTACTTTGCGTCGCTCGTACGCAACAAGCACTCCACCTTCTCTATGCTTCAACTAGCCGGAAATCTTTTTATGAGTGGCGCCCGACTCGAGTTTTGCCAGGTGAACCAAACCAACAGCGAGACCCAAAGGCCGGCCCTGTTAGATAGCTTAACTCCATATCCCTGGTCAGAGCATAAGTACTGGTATGAGTCGCGCGCCAGCGAGCAGCACCGCAAGCTTCCTTTTCCTCGCCATGACTTGCTCGGCCGCCTAGAGGACACCTATAATGAAACGGAGCCCGTCTGGCGAAACGTACTGTCCTCCTCCGACGTGCCTTGGATTAAGAACCACCGCATGCAGTCGTTTGCCACGTTCCCCCTGGCCGGCTACCTATCCATGGCCGTCGAGGCCGCCTCCCAACGAGCGCAACTTCGCGGTATCGCCATGTCCGACATCTCGGGCTACCGCCTGCGCGAGATTCGGTCGTCTAAGGCCCTTATTCTCGACGATGATGTCCGGTTCGAGACTGTCTTGTCCATGAGGGCTTACGGCGAGGGAACAAGGGCATACTCCAACGATTGGGATGAGTTCACCATCTCATCATGGGTGTCCAGCAGGGGCTGGCTCGAGCATTGCCGCGGTCTCATCAACATTAAGAAAGCTAAGACGGAGAAGTCGATCACCAGCCTAAAGCCCCAGGGTGCGATATTTCGGCGGAAGCAGGCGATAGAGCCTGGAGGGCGGCGCGTCTCACTGGACGACTTTTATGCCGAGCTCGGACGCAATGGTGCATGCTATACGTCGAGTTTCACATTGCGACCCGAGGCGGGGCTGACGAGCCGCGGTAACTTTGCCACGAGTACCGTTGCCTTCCCCGACACGGCGCCTCAAATGCCATTTTCATACGAAACACCGTCCATCCTCCCGGTAGCTTTCATCGACCTCATGTTCCAGCACACCTTCGTGATTCTTGGCGCAGGTCGCGATCAGATGGCATCCCTCTTCATGCCCTTGGCCATTAAAGAAATTGATATTTGTACTCCCTTGCCTAATCAAGCAGGTCAGCAGATCAAGGTTGTTGCTCACGGCCGCCCAGACCCTGCCAGCCTAGGGGTAGTCGACTTTTGCATTGATGGTTGGCACAGCGATACGGCCAATCCTGTCATTAGGTTTGCGGGCTTCAGGATGACACCGGTCAGTAATCAAGAATTGGACGAACCAAGCCCGCGCTCCCTTTGCTACAAGCTCAAGTGGGAGCCCCTGAAGGACGGCAGAGCACAAGCAGACGGCACAAAGATCGAGCCAAAGACGAATGACAACGCCTTTCAAATCAATGGCCTCGCGAACGGTATCTCAAACTCAAACGGTACAACTAAGCGTACCAATGGTCATCACGCAGAGGATAAAGCCGCTGCTACTGTTATCATATCCGACAAGGACCAGTCCGACCGGCTTGTGAGCGCTCTTTTGGCCCTGATTGCCCGTGCTGGTTCCAAGGCATCCATCTGCCCTCTCTCTAAGCTTGAGCCCTCTTCCTCCGTCCGATACATCTGCTTGGCCGAAATGGATGCCCCCTTGATTCACAATATGACGGCAGCAACGTTTGCTCGTGTTCAGCGCCTACTTCTCCATGGTGATTCGATTCTGTGGGTCACGGCGGGTGCTTACCGGTTCGCGGAGTCACCGCACAAGAACATGGCGCAAGGTCTCTTGCGTACGGTTCGCTCTGAGTCCGGAAAAGTAGCAGCCATGCTTGACTTGGACGTAGGCTCCCGGCTGGGTCCTACGGAGCGAGCCAAGCTCATCATGGAAGCGCTCTCCGCCTCCCAGGCCTCTAAAGACGGCCTAGATGGCGAATTCGAGTTTGCGGAACAAGAAGGCCTGCTTGTAGTTCCTCGCGTCGTCTGCGAGGACGACGTGAACCTCACCATTTTCCGTGAAACGCTATCGACATCGCCGTACCTGCAAGACTTTGAACAATCAGGGAGGCGCCTCAAGGTGGTCATCGGCAACTATGGCGCCATCGACTCGCTGTATTGGACGGATGAAGCCGAATTTTGCCTCGACGATGAAGAAATCGAAATTAAGGTGGCTGCTACGGGGATGAATTTCAAAGACGTCGTCATTAGCATGGGTCAAGTCCCTAGCCCATATTTAGGCGTCGAATGCAGCGGAATTGCCACTCGCGTCGGTCGGAACGTCCACACCCTTCGGGTAGGGGATCGCGTATGCGCCATGGTCCGAGGAGCTTACGGCACGTACGCCACCTGCCACGCTAGTAGCGCCGCCGTCATTCCAGCAGACATGAGCTTCCCTGTCGCCGCGTCTCTCCCCGTCGTCTACAGCACGGCCTACTATGGCATCACCGAACTCGCGCGCATGCAACCGGGCGAGAAGATTCTTATCCATGCGGCCTCTGGCGGCGTTGGACAGGCGGCTATCCAACTATCGCAAATGATCGGCGCAGACATCTATGCCACTGTTAGCAGCGCCGACAAAAAACAGCTACAGGGTGGCAAACCACTCAATCAACTCAACCAAAGAGTCAAATTGAGTAGATTGACGGCTTACATCAGCGAACCTCTCGTTGAGTTGAGCAATCCAAGCCCTCGTTGAATTGATTGCGTTGATTGATGGAGTTGATGCCCTACCCTACCTATTAGTAAGCTACTTAAGGTCCTCAACACCATCAACTTCTCGTCCTTCGTGGGGCACCTCTTCGGGGAAGACATCGTCATCGACTGAAGCATCAATAATCCCCTGGTAGTCGGGTATTAGCCCTGCCTTCAGCCAAGACCGAATTGCCTGGCCTGCATTGATCGTGTTAGCCTGAAGCCGGCTGCGTAGTCGTGTGACCATTAGCCCAGCAAATGAGAACGCCCTCTCGCACTCTGCTGACATTGGCGGTATAGATAGCATATCAAAGGCCATTCGAGCAAGTCTGGGATACGTTGACTCTTTGAGTTGCCAGTATTGGAACGGATCCGTGATGTCTCCGTCATCTGCGCCGATATCAACAGTCCAGCGATCGAATTCATCGGCGGTAGGTGGCCCACGACGGGTTGTGGCCGTCTGACCAGCTTGTAGCCGGTGCCTCAGTCGGAACTGTTGGAACTCGTTCAAGTCGTCAACCTTTCGACGTTTAACCATCGGAATAGCCTCGTCATCGCTGAGAATTAATGACTTATAGTCGCGTTCCCAGATGCCCCGAACAATCCGTCGTGCCTCAAGGACCCATTCAGGTCGATGAGCCCAAGCCTCCTCAAACCATTGCAGTCGCAAGGCGGGATGGAGAGCGACTGCAGCATAATATACCGGGCACTCAACCAACTTGATATAGTATTTCTCCAACTTCTTCCACCCCAATTCGACGTTTATCGCGAAATGCTCGGAATCAGGCACATCCTTGGCGAATTCCTTTGCCTCTTCCAATCGTTCAAGGAGATATTCGAATGCTTGGATAATATCCCATGCTGTTCCGTATGCCACGAGGTTGCCGCCCTTACGCACCCGAATCTGGGCATCTCCTCGAGGGCCTTGATGGCATTTTCGAAGTGCTTAAGAATATTCCGAAAGTGGCTGATCACTGTCCAGTCGTTACCGGTCAGCAGGTCAGAATCTCGGAGGCATGCAGGCATGTCTTTCTTCTTTGACCTGCTTCGGGTATATTCGAACTGTTCCAATGCGACGAGGTCGTCAAGAAAGTCGTGCAGTAGAAGGGCTCGATCCATCATCTTATAATGGGACAACCATCGTGTCATGTTATCCGTTAGAACGTCAACTGGTTTCTTCGTACTGTCCCTCTTGCGTTGTAGATCCCGAAGCATGTACGTTAACCTATCCGATTGATGAATCCAGTGGACAAGGTTGTGGAGCTTGCCAATAGGCCCCCTCTTCCGCCAGAGATCATGTCGAGCAAGGTCCAGGTCGAGTCGCTCTTCTGATTTGAAGACTTCATTATCTTTGCCAAAGAGCAGCGCTTTGGCCACGAGATTGATGATATGCCCAAAGCAGCGGACCCGTCTCTGCTTCCTTCAAAATTAAAAACGTGTCCCAGTGCTGCTACCGCCGTATCGTTATTCTTCGCATTGTCAAGCGTGAAATACCCGATCTTGTCTTGAATCTCGAATGATTCGATCACTTCCGCCACCTGCGACGCTATATTCTCGCCAGTATGAGACTCTCGGAGTTCAGGAGCCCAAGGATGATCTTCTGTGGCCGCTTTTCCTTAGAGAGATAGAACGCAGCAATCCCATTAAGCGCATAGCGATTGGGCGATCTCCAGCCGTCAAACGCAAGGTGTATCTGCCCGGGCGCTCCTCAGTTCCTTTATCACAATATGCTTGTACTGGTGGTATTCTTGGAAAAGCTTCGTTCGAATAGTCGAGTGTGTCATGTGGGCTTGAGTCAGGGCGATCGAGGGATTGAGGTATTCGAGAAGACGCCGGAATCGAGGGGCTTCAACTGCGCGGAAGGCAACATTCGACTCGGTGATCCAAGCAAGCAAGAGAGATTGGAAGACATCTTTATCGAATTGGTTTTTTAGCTTGTTAATGAATGCTTGCTCCTTCTGGTCATTGGCATCGAGGTTGAAGAATTGGGCAATAGAACGCTTGTTGGTTGTAGAACCCTTCGGTAACCGTCTACCTGATGGGTCAATAACATTGTGAGCATCATGTAGATGGCGCTCAATGTTTAGGGTCCCTTGCCGCGAAGCTCACGGGTCCCTTCGGCGATTTCTTCGGTAAACACCGCTCACAGACCCAGAGGCGATTATCTACGTTAGCTTGATGTTCAATGTCGAACCCAAAGCTCCAGATCCACGATTTGAGCTTGCCGGCGCGTTGAGACTTGGTATAGCCGCGGAAGTGATGCCAGGGGAAGGCATCCCACTCGAGATGGGGAACGGGGCCTGAGTCGCCTGAATCGCCTGATGGCGGCAAGGGAGAAGAAGGCTCAGGAGATTCGCTCATTGCATATAGGAATGTTTAGATCAGCCAAGGCGTTGTGGAAGAATCGAGAAGTGTAAGTGGAACTGAGGCGAGAGATTGAACTTTGTTGTGAAGCGCGTCGATGCGCGCAGCGCGTCGACTCTTCCAACGGAACAGGGGGCCCTGTTCCCCGAAGAGGAGAGCAGGCTTACCTACAACGGGCCTGAGTAACCTGTAAGGTTAGTGGTAGCTATATACCCAATCCGTACCTACATTTCGCCTTGGCCACCTACCCTACAGGATCCCTGACCGTCAACGGCAATCTCATCAATCCATCAATCAACGGGAGCATGAATTGAATTGACAAGCTTATTCAGCAGACACTCGATTGAGTTGATTGAGTTGACGGTTGCTCAACTATATTGAGCAACCGTTGCTGGGATTGAGTGGTTTGCCACCCTGAACAGCTACTTATGGATAGATACGGCATTCCCGAGGAACGTATCTTTTATAGCCGCGATACTGATTTCGGCCTTACTTTGAGAGAGGCTACAGGGGGCAAAGGCGTTGACGTCGTCCTCAACTCCTTGGCGGGCGACTTGCTACGGGAGACGTGGAACTGTCTCGCACCTTTTGGACGATTTATAGAAATCGGGAAAAGAGACATCGTTGCCAACACGAGGCTAGAGATGGCCAAGTTTGACGAGAATTGCACTTTCAGCTCCGTCGACTTGACATTGTTGGCTTCAAAGCGACCCAAGATCATGAGTCGAGTTTTAGTTGCCGTCATGGACCTCTTAACCAAAAAGGTCGTGAAGCCCATTGGTCCAATTTCGACAGTTGGTATTGGAGAGGTTGAGGCAGCCCTTCGAATGTTGCAAAGCGGCAAGACGAGTGGCAAGTTGATTGTCAGTCATACGGCATCCAACCAAAAAGTCAAGGTGAGGGAGACATGATGCCTCTCTATCGTACGAATAAGAGACTAATTCGATACTTTACAGGCCACTCATCCAAGTCAGACGTCCTACCTGCCACCAGATGGCACATATGTCATCATCGGCGGTACTGGCGGCGTCGGAAAATCCCTGGCCCGAAGGATGGTTCTACGAGGCGCCCGTCATGTGGTTCTTCTCTCTCGCTGTAGCGCTATGACAAGCGAGCTGCAACAGCTTATCCAGGACTGCCACAGCGAAGGCGCTTCGATTCATGTCAGGCAATGTGACGCTTCGGATGGTGCTCAGGTTAGCGCCCTCGTCAAAGAGCTGCAAGGCGTTTTGCCTGCCGTCAGAGGCGTCATCCATGCTGCCATGGTGCTTAAGGTATGTGGCTGCTTAGCAATGCGAGATGACGAACAGTACTCTGACATATTCTAGGATATCTTGTTCGAGAAGATGACTTTTGACGAATATCAAGACGTTGTCCGGCCTAAGGTTGATAGCGCTTGGAATTTCCACGAATCTCTTCTCGATCACCCTCTCGACTTCTTCATCGTGTTATCCTCGGTTGCCGGCATCATTGGAAATAGGGGCCAAGCGGCCTATGCTGCCGCCAACACGTTTCTCGACGCCTTTGCTCTGCATCGCCGGCGCCGAGGCCTTGCAGCCACGTCTCTCAACCTCACTGCCATTAGTGATGTCGGATACTTGACGCAGGACAAGGGCAAGCAGGCCGAGGTTATGAAGAACATCTCGGGCAGCTCTATGAGCGAGCAAGAGTTGCTGGCCCTTGTGGAAGCGGCTATTCAAGGCAAAGTCGGGACCGCTTGTGACGAGCAGTGTATCACCGGGCTCAAGTTTTCTAACCCTGCTGCGCTACCCTACTATTCCTCGGATAGAAAGTTCACCTACCTCCGGAACGAAGCTCTGGTCAAAGTGACACAAGACACGGGCCCGGCCGAGTTGGCAAACTTGACCATCTCGCAAAAGCTTAGCTTGGCGTCCGATTCCGGACAAGCTCAGGAGATCGTTACTCAGGGCCTCCAGAAGAAGCTTGGAGCTATCCTCATGGTCTCCGACGAGGTCATGGCGGCTCAGATGGAGACGACAGCAATGACCGCATTTGGCTTGGATTCACTTACCGCCATTGAACTTCGCAACTGGGTTGGAAAGGAGCTGCAGGCTCACCTGCAAGTTCTGGAACTTCTCACGGGTGGTTCGTTGAGAGACTTGGCCGCCACGGTGCTCAAGAAGACGAAGATCTCGGGAGTCTGGTCCAATCGAGACCAGACGTAATGCCAAGGGATGACGTACGCATTCGCCGTTACATCCACAACCGAGCATGTTCAATAGGATACGGAGGAACATTTCAAAAGTTCTTGCTGAGGCTAAAAGAACCCCTGTATGCAAAAGGAAAGGGAAGAACTCCGCACATGAAATTGACCTCAATTGTCCTCTTCTGCTCTTTTCATCCTATGTCATCAATTCTATTTTACCAAAATGAAGACCGATATTGCAACCCGGGCATTAATTATCACGTTAAAGGCGCCTTGCAGCGGCAAATCGTCAGCTGAGATAGCCTATTTGACTGGCATTTCACCTCGTACCGTCGTACGATTGATAGCATTTACGCACGAGCAATTAGCCGCGGATTTGAGCCAAACCAGCGGCCGTTGATTTTACGGGATGAGTGGCTTCAAGATGCCCCTCGATCTGGCCGGCCATCTAAGCAGGCTCCTATTCAAGATGAAGTTATTGCGAAGGTTCGCCGAAACCGGTATAGCAGAGAGAAAAATTGTACTGATATTACTACTGAGCTCAGTGTAGAAGAGCATCGTGTTTCTGCTACCACTGTATGAAGAGTCTTACGGCAAGCAGGGTTCCGAAAGACGAAGCCAACAAGGAAGCCTGGATTGACGAAAAAATGAAAGAAGACCGGCTTCAATGGTGTCTTCTACAAAAAGATTAGACTTTAGAAGACTGGAAGAAGGTGATAGGCAACCCCTTTATGCGTGGGCACAGCCACGTATACGTGGGTGAAGCCCATTACTCAGGAGGTCCCCAGAAGTCCCTAAGACCTCCTGTATAAATACCATGCCCCACCCAGAACCGGTACACCCCCACAACCGGTACAGCAAGCCACATACAAACTACACCAACTTTACTTATATAAATCTGGCCCAATAACGGAGCAATTGAAAAGCTGATTGCTGTATTAAACAGAGGCATGCATGCTTTGTGTATTTTTGGCTTTGGAGTGAGGTTTAGGGGCGTTATTTCGGCTTAGGCTTGTTTGGGAATTGACCCTTGTGGTGAAAAATTCTCGTTCTTACGGCTTCATTCTTACCTAGTATTTTCATATTCCAGCGACCAACGTCGAAATGCCTTCGGTATTCGGAAGATTCATTGCTTGACGCATACATTTAAGTTACAGATAATTGAATGTCTATACGTAAAGCCGCACAAAAATACGGCATACCGGCCACTACGCTCTCCGCTCGACTCAACGGCAGACCCGCCAAGTCAGGAGCCCACCAGCATCATCAACGAATTTCTCCAGTCCAAGAGACACGGCTAGTGACTTGGATCAGTGTTGCTAATAATTCAGTCCGAAGGACTTCTATTACGACGATAACTTGAAATTCAAAATCTCTGCTCGTACCGTACTGATCTCGCTACACGCGACTTCCAATCCGGTATTAGCTATGTTGCTGTCTCACAGGTTACGTCGCTCCAAGGCTTACTCCTTGAGGCGCCTTTCGATCGTCAGAGCCTCTATAACCACACGCCGACAGAAGGTTTATACGCCTGCTTTTCCTACGTACCGCGTTCACGGCTAACTATAAGGCAGGGATGAAGATGCGCCTCGCTGACCAACAACGGCGCCAGACTCAACAGCTGAGCGATGCACCGTATCCACCACTCTACCTTGACTAAACAGCGTCTTCCTATAAGCTACCGGGAAGGGGGAGATTCGATGTACGGTATGTGGTTCGATTGGGCCTGTTAGGAAGCAGTAGAGAGATTCTTAGACTGCAGGTTGAAGCGGTCGGTTTAAACAGCATGTTGCCCGCGGCAGGAGAAAGGGGAGTTCTAGGGGGTCCCCCCAAAGAAAGTTCAATTGCAGGTATACGATGTTCACCCTTCGGGCTGGATATTCAGCCGTTAATCCCCTTGCCTTGGCAACTTAACGGGTGTTCGAAGTATTTTTTATTATTATTATTCTGGCTTATCCTTCCGCCCGCGCTCTCAGCCTGCTGAGAGCATCATACCATTACCGTAATTTCGGTTGTGCTCTATTTGCCGGATCCGTCCATAGACTTCCTGCGTGCCTTACCGCTTGCGTCCATCGTTTCCGTTTCTTGTGACCCCCTGGTGCGGGCCCAGTCCGGGGGCGACTTTCAACTGAATGCGGAAAGTAAAATTCACTTGATGGTGTGGATTCTTTGGCTGGCGACAATTCCAGATCGAGTAGTGCGCCATTAGTTCGAACCAAAATCGGATTCCAGAAAAAATAACCGTCTGCTTTGCTTGGATAATCCTAACAAATAAATAATCTACTGATTCTCGCTTCCATTACAACGTTGGGGGCTGCACACTCGTGAGCCCGCCATATGTATCGCCATTTATCCGATACGCGCGCCATGGCGGAGTTGTCCGAGATCAACGGTGGTCCTTTGAAACCTCTCCTGGCCGGCTCGATGTGGTCAGTTTTACAGCGCGGCATCGACATAAACCCAGACCAGACGGCACTGGTTTCTCCATCGCAGCCGGCTCATCACCTCCAAGAACTCGTCGGGCCACCTGCTTCATCGGCTTCGGCTCTGGGCAGATTTACACGTGCTGCAGGTCCATTGGCGTCGGCCAATACTGTGTATCCTCTCTCCAGACTCTCCGGACTAGCACCCCCGTCGGTCGACTACCTCAGCTGGACTTTTACCCAGCTGGAGCGTGCGGCCGTTCGACTCGGGTCCGTCCTTGATGTAAACGGCATTTCGCCAGGAGCATCCATTGTCGTCATCCTCTCGGGCTGCGCCGAATGGGCCCTCATGTTCTGGGTGGCGGCATTGAAGTGTTGCACACTCATCACCCTAGACACGGCGTTGTTGGAGCCCAGCCATGAAGTTGAGCTACAGACACTCCTTGACAAGCTGACGCCTTCGTTGATTCTGGTGGAGAACCAAGAAGTTGCTCGAGCCGTGGACCGTCTGAGGACCACTCAAAATAAGCCAGGCCCGTTTTTAGGCATAACGATAGAGCCTCTTACGAACATCATTCCAGGTTGGACTAGCATGCTTAGCATGTCCTTTGCCAACGATATAAAGGCAAAGCAGGCCACGGACAGCCTCGACAGAACGGCCATGATTATCTTTACAAGCGGCACGTCGACAGGCAGACCGCGAGGCTGCATAAGAAGAGTTGGCGAGTTGTTGCAACTAATTATGTCCATATCATTTCCTCCACTACGATCACCGCTTGCGCTTATCAACTCGGGTAACTTCTCAGCCACCGCTGCGAGCATTCTTTACGTCTGTTGGCATACGGGCAACGCCGCCGTCCTCGCTGGTGGGGATTTTAGTGCACCGACGACCTTGACAGCCATGGACGGCTGGAGGCCAATGGTCTTGACAGTCGTTGAACCAATCAAAGTTGATGTGCTGGCTTACCATAGCGGCTACTCACAGACCAAGGTCAGCTCGGTAAAACATGTGCAATTGATTGGGGGTGTCACGCCGATAGAGAGACTCAAAAGGACGCAACGAGTGTTTCCCGCAGCCAAAATCATTTCGAAATATGGTATGACAGAAGCAGTGGGCTTTATCGGGTGGACTGGAACTACGCCAAAGGTCGAGGATATCCCGACTTTTCAAGGTGTTGCCTCGTCTGGGGTCGCGTTGCCTGGCATCAAGCTCAAGGTTGTGGATGACGAGAGCCGCGTTGTGCGACGCAACGAACCCGGCGTATTGCATATAAGCGGTGATATGGTGACTCCCGGCTACTTAGGTGGCGAGCGAGCAGAGGACTTTTATTATGAGGAGGACGGAAGTCGATGGTATATTACCGGCGACTACACCGTCATCGACGACGATGGTCACGTCTATGTTCTAGGCCGATACGAGCATATGATTCGAAACAACGGCACGGTCATTGCTCCAGCGACTATTGAGAATCTCCTTATGAAGGATGTCGCATCTACGGTATGTCACTCACCCAAGTCCCCAGTGTTATCCCTCGGTAACCTATCTTGTCGTATCTCGTCAGGTTCTGGTCATGGGTTTCAAAGCATCAGCGGGCAAAGAAGTGCCATATGCTATCTTCGATAAAGATACTCGCAGCCCAGAGGATTTGCAAGAGCTCGTCATCAAGCAACTCGGATCAATGTACCGCCTCGGCGGTTCTGTGCACCTTGAGCAACTTGGGTTCAGAGAGTGGCCGTTCAACAGAGGAGGGAAGGTTTCGATATGCGACCTGAGGTGTCAAATAATCAAATATCTGGCGTTGGAAGATGCCTCAAATCCGATTGTAAGACATGCCGATATATAAGAGAGACTTTGGTCATTCGTACGTACCCAACTCTCAAGACGCACGCACCCGGCGACTGATTATTTTTAAAACAGGAGACCGGCCTCTTCCAGGGCCCGCTAATGCCTTTAGGAACGGACTAGAGCATGAGTTGGCCGGCGGCAAGTATCAACCCGCCCGGTAGTGCTAAAGGCAATTGCCAACAAATGGCTAGGGCCCAATTATCTATACACCTCCTTTTATTAACTGTACACCAAAAAGTGGATCAACTGTGGCTGGGTCAGGCGCAGTGCCGATGCCGCTAATTTTGGTGCGCCCATTCCCGGCCGGCCAGCTGGCCAGTTCGTGATGCTTGCGTAACAACATCCTGTAACCGTAACTATCAGCAATACCATCAAAACTGAAGCTATTCGCACCGCGTTTTCTGCCCTTACGAGCCCGAATCATGGAGTCGCTTACGAAGACACTATTCCCGACCTTCCAGGCCGCGATGGAAGCCGCCGATACCGTTGTTGAGGCTGAGGGCTACGCCCTACACATTCGAACATCGAAGCGGGATAACGCTGGCCAACGCAAGTCTGCACTTGTTCGTTGTATCAAGGCCGGCCCCTACGAAAATCGGAAGGATAAAGCTGCTCATATCTCTCGTCGTCGCCTCAATACAGCAACCCAGAAAACAGACTGTGAATTTCGCCTCTCGTTGAAGGAAAACGCGGTTACTGGACTATCTCTTATCTTCACGATGTTCACAATCATCGCCTTGTTGATGACCCGATGGTCTTTCCGAAGTACCGGGCGCTTGTTATCCAGAAGTATCGCGACGACATTATCCGGAAGTTTAATAACAATACCCGGCCGACCGATATTGCTGGCGAGCTTCGTGACCTGGTTCACGACGATCCTCGTTTAGCCGGTATCACGGCTCAAGACGTGAGTAACGCCTTGGCTAGGCACCGTCAGGAAGAACTAGCTGGCCGTACGCCTCTTCAGTTTCTCTACGACCGGCTAGATAAGTCCGACTTCTTTCATCGAGATAGTCGTGATCCCCAGGGCCGGCTAACTGGGCTATTTCTCGCGCCTCGTGCTACCTTCCATCGATGGCGTCAGCATCACGATGTCCTCGTCCTCGACTGTACCTACAAGACGAACCGATTCAATATGCCGTTATTGAATATCTGCGCGGCCACTCGAGATAACAAAACGTTCTCATTGCCTCTATCTTCTTGAACGGCGAGACCGAGTCCCATTACTATTGGGCTATCTCGTTGCTGCTAGTCCTTTGCGAGAAGGAGTCGATCCCATTTCCAAGGGTCACTGTCACGGACCGAGATACTGCGTTGCTTAAGGCGTTAGATAGCTTTCGCGAGCTTCAAAACAGTACTAACCTTCTCTGCACGTGGCATATTAACCAGAATGTCGTTGCGAAATGCAAGCAATTTTTCCTAAGGCATCAAAAATCGGCAATCGAGTCGTACGGGCCCCGGCATTCCAAGCGTTTCTACAAGAGTGGAACGAGATCGTCAAGTCACAAGATGTGAATAGCTTCAACGAACGTTTACGCCAATTTGAGACACCAGGCCGCCACCCGCTTGCAGCTATACAATACTGTTGCAATACGTGGCTAACGCCTTGGAAGGAGAAGTTTGTATCTTGTTTCGTTAATCAATATCGCCACTTCGGGCGTACAACGACCTCGATCGTCGAGGGACTTCACTCTCATATGAAGAAGTTCCTTTGGTCCTGTACGGGCGATTTGACGACCGTTTTCCAACGATTCGAACGCTTCTGGGGCCATCAGGCTGCTCAGATCACAGCGATAGAGAATCGAAACCTCCACAAGATATCAACGTTCTCCTACAGGCGCCGTATATGCCGATCCGCGAGCGAGTATCGTCATATGCGTTAAAGCTACTAATAGATGAGCATCGCAAGATCCCTCTAGACCCCCGAAGTCAACGGGCCAAACCGCCGCCAGGTCAATGTCCTTGTAATTGGGCTACTAGTCGAGGGCTACCGTGCTGCCATCGAATCTTCGAGTCTATCAACACCAATACCTCCCTTACACTCGACGACTTCGACCCATTTTGGTATATTCCGATCGATACAAGCGCTCAGGGCACAAGCCCTACTCGGGCACCATACGAGCCACAAGTTATCAGGGCTAAGGGCCGCCCCAAGGGCTCACTCAACCTCGAAGAGTCACGGCGGTCAAGATCAACGCGGCGGGATCCGTCACATCACGAGATCGCTGAACGGCATGAGCGGGCTGAGGCTATACGACTGCCTCCTCCTCAACGGCACCGGCGGCGATGACGGGTACGGTAACGGCCGCGATGACTTCAACGGAACGAGGGCTGCGGCACATCGAGGAAAACGGCGATACGTACGAGGCAGGCACACGGATGCAACGGGCGTATCAAGCCGGGCGTCAAACGCCAGTCTCTGATGATGACGATCAGCCGGTACGGCGGGAGACCCAAGACTGCATCTTCGTCGCCGGCCTCACGGACGATGCCGCCCTTGAGGATGTATGGGATCAATTGGAATCACAGTTAGATGAAGCGGATCAGGCACGTAGTGCACTCGAAGAAGGAGGCCTGTTGTAAACACCAAAGAATAGTCTCATCAGCATAGAAAGCGCAGTACGAATAGCTTCAATTTTGGGTGCCTTATCGTTGAAGGAGAACTGTTACTACCTGGCTCTACTTATCGTAGAGAATGTGTGCATACAAATTGGCGGTATCGGCCCTCTTCGGCCGTCAGCCACAGTTAATCCACTTTTTGGGTGTACAGTTAATGAAAGTGGGTGGATAGATAACTTGGGCCCAGTTTTGATGGTATTGCTGATAGTTACGGTTACAGGATGTTGTTACGCAAGCATCACGAACTGGCCAGCTGGCCGGCCGGGAATGGGCGCACCAAAATTAGCGGCATCGGCACTGCGCCTGACCCAGCCACAGTTGATCCACTTTTTGGTGTACAGTTAATAAAAGGAGGTGTATAGATAATTGGGCCCCAAAACTGAAGCTATTCGCACCGCGTTTTCTGCCCTTACGAGCCCGAATCATGGAGTCGCTTACGAAGACACTATTCCCGACCTTCCAGGCCGCGATGGAAGCCGCCGATACCGTTGCTGAGGCTGAGGGCTACGCCTACACATTCGAACATCGAAGCGGGATAACGCTGGCCAACGCAAGTCTGCACTTGTTCGTTGTATCAAGGCCGGCCCCTACGAAAATCGGAAGGATAAAGCTGCTCATATCTCTCGTCGTCGCCTCAATACAGCAACCCAGAAAACAGACTGTGAATTTCGCCTCTCGTTGAAGGAAAACGCGGTTACTGGACTATCTCTTATCTTCACGATGTTCACAATCATCGCCTTGTTGATGACCCGATGGTCTTTCCGAAGTACCGGGCGCTTGTTATCCAGAAGTATCGCGACGACATTATCCGGAAGTTTAATAACAATACCCGGCCGACCGATATTGCTGGCGAGCTTCGTGACCTGGTTCACGACGATCCTCGTTTAGCCGGTATCACGGCTCAAGACGTGAGTAACGCCTTGGCTAGGCACCGTCAGGAAGAACTAGCTGGCCGTACGCCTCTTCAGTTTCTCTACGACCGGCTAGATAAGTCCGACTTCTTTCATCGAGATAGTCGTGATCCCCAGGGCCGGCTAACTGGGCTATTTCTCGCGCCTCGTGCTACCTTCCATCGATGGCGTCAGCATCACGATGTCCTCGTCCTCGACTGTACCTACAAGACGAACCGATTCAATATGCCGTTATTGAATATCTGCGCGGCCACTCGAGATAACAAAACGTTCTCTATTGCCTCTATCTTCTTGAACGGCGAGACCGAGTCCCATTACTATTGGGCTATCTCGTTGCTGCTAGTCCTTTGCGAGAAGGAGTCGATCCCATTTCCAAGGGTCACTGTCACGGACCGAGATACTGCGTTGCTTAAGGCGTTAGATAGCTTTCGCGAGCTTCAAAACAGTACTAACCTCTGCACGTGGCATATTAACCAGAATGTCGTTGCGAAATGCAAGCAATTTTTCCCTAAGGCATCAAAATCGGCAATCGAGTCGTACGGCCACGGCATTCCAAGCGTTTCTACAAGAGTGGAACGAGATCGTCAAGTCACAAGATGTGAATAGCTTCAACGAACGTTTACGCCAATTTGAGACACCAGGCCGCCACCCGCTTGCAGCTATACAATACTGTTGCAATACGTGGCTAACGCCTTGGAAGGAGAAGTTTGTATCTTGTTTCGTTAATCAATATCGCCACTTCGGGCGTACAACGACCTCGATCGTCGAGGACTTCACTCATATGAAGAAGTTCCTTTGGTCCTGTACGGGCGATTTGACGACCGTTTTCCAACGATTCGAACGCTTCTGGGGCCATCAGGCTGCTCAGATCACAGCGATAGAGAATCGAAACCTCCACAAGATATCAACGTTCTCCTACAGGCGCCGTATATGCCGATCCGCGAGCGAGTATCGTCATATGCGTTAAAGCTACTAATAGATGAGCATCGCAAGATCCTCTAGACCCCGAAGTCAACGGGCCAAACCGCCGCCAGGTCAATGTCCTTGTAATTGGGCTACTAGTCGAGGGCTACCGTGCTGCCATCGAATCTTCGAGTCTATCAACACCAATACCTCCCTTACACTCGACGACTTCGACCCATTTTGGTATATTCCGATCGATACAAGCGCTCAGGGCACAAGCCCTACTCGGGCACCATACGAGCCACAAGTTATCAGGGCTAAGGGCCGCCCCAAGGGCTCACTCAACCTCGAAGAGTCACGGCGGTCAAGATCAACGCGGCGGGATCCGTCACATCACGAGATCGCTGAACGGCATGAGCGGGCTGAGGCTATACGACTGCCTCCCCGAAGAAGGAGGCCTGTTGTAAACACCAAAGAATAGTCTCATCAGCATAGAAAGCGCAGTACGAATAGCTTCAATTTTGGGTGCCTTATCGTTGAAGGAGAACTGTTACTACCTGGCTCTACTTATCGTAGAGAATGTGTGCATACAAATTGGCGGTATCGGCCCTCTTCGGCCGTCAGCCACAGTTAATCCACTTTTTGGGTGTACAGTTAATGAAAGTGGGTGGATAGATAACTTGGGCCAATGGCTACACCGCAGTACACTTCGTATTCGTGATCGTCCATGTTGAAAATTGTAGTCTCCTGTTCCTTCATCCAGGTTTTATATCCTTTTGGTCGTCGAGTATCGGACTCTTGCATACAGCCTTGTCGAACGGCGGGACATTGTGGTCGATTTGTATGTCTCCCTCCATAGCTGTGCCGCCCGACTTTTTGCCCTCTCAAACCATTCGGTCTTTTCCTTTCAAGTCTGTTCCATGTGGGCCCACTTGAGGGAGGGATTCAACACTGTCGCAGTGTCGCTGCCGAGTAGACCGGGGAATCCTCCGTCAGCTCGTAATAATCAGTGAGCTTAGCCCAGGCGGTCTCCATCATTGTGGCTAGGTGGGGAACAGTGGTACTCTCTCTGGCAGCCTCGATGTGGTGCAGAAGATAGTCCATGGTGGGCAAGACATCAGAGATGGAAGATGTCGCGGTGCCTTTGTTGGCCAATGTAGCATCATAAAATGGCTCGAGAAATTTGTAAATCTCAGCTAAGGTCACCCAATCAGAGGCATTTAGGGCATCTTCCTGCAAAGCTGGCTCCTGTGCGCAGAAGATCGTTACCATGCCCCACTGTCAGACATTTGGCTCCACACGGGTCAGAGATGGCATCAGGCAATTGATGAGAATTATCTAAAGAACAAGAAGTGAATGAACGAACGCACGGAGTTGTGCAGCTCTTTATACACAAATGAAAGGTCTGTCGCGTGATTACGCAGTAGCGGTTGCCTAGCAGGCAACAGCGGCGTTGCGAGTAACATCGCCACTTCATGAATAATCACCATGGGCAGGCTTGATATGCGACACAGTGGCTATTGAGAGGTCTGGTGTAAATATGGCAGTGGTGCTGCTTAAGAACGCAACGCATGTTTCCAACTTGCTGCATTCACTAACTCGGGCAGGACCTCGGGATGTACCATCAGACCTAGACCGACCGGGCTGCTGATCCAGACAGACCTAAACCGACCGACCGGGGGCCTTTGCCAACCTAAACCGACCGCCCGGAGGTGCCGGTCTAGGTCTGTCGGTTTTTTAGCCACACTGACTTTTGGGTGCTGTTGTGCGACGAACCGCGGCTCTAGGGTCGCGACGAGACGCCAGGACAGCTTTTTTCCCCTCTGGATTAGTCAGTTTATCTGTCATAATGTATTCTGCGAAAAATATATGTAAATAACATTAAGTTGCGCGAGAAAACGCGGTTGAAATACTTGGGGTTGATGTTTTGAAAGTGGGCTGCTGTGCCGGCTTTTTTGGGCCAACTAAGTGGCGAAGACACTTAGTTGGGCTGCTGTGGGCCCCACACCTTGACCAACGGGTAGTCCAGTCATGTCTCTTTTAAGTGTCCGGGAGCAAGCCCCTATATCACAGAACAGAGATTTCGGCCAGTAAAGCTATTAAAGACAATTAAAGGCATATTTAGCTATAAACTAGAATCGACTAATAGCTAGGGAGTTAGGTTAAGGGCGTAAAATACCTAATTCGGTTGACGCTATAGAAGATGCTACGTAATATACTTCGTACCTATAGTTACTATGCTTACCCCCCTTCTAATTACCCCCCCTTTATGCTCCGCTAAATAACTAAATAAGATAAACCTTACTAGAAATCCGGTTATTAAACTATTTATATTTTAGCGAGTTAGAGAGATAAAAATAGAAAAGCTATATTATTTAAAAGAGAATTAAATATACTAATTAGTTCTTAATCTTTTTATAACGCGACTCCGTCGGGTGGTGCGCTAGGGAGGCCTAGATATATTAACCTTAATCGCCGAAGCTGTCTCCGTCTCCGACTCCACCTCTTCTAACGCGTCGCAATCTACTATAAAAGCTTTCTTTATACTCCTAATTCTAGGAATAATCTTACCGGCCGTAAAAGCTTCGGCGAGATATATAAAGCCTTTATTTAGGCTAGGGATAGCCCTTCTCTTTCTTCCTCTCTTTAGCCTATTATAAGAGCGCTACTAGGAGGTATAGGCTAATAAAGCACTTAGGTATATAGTACTAATATATTAGTAGGGTATCGGCAGGGAATCGTGCCTACCCCGCTCGTATATTATAGACTACTCGCTACTCTAACTAAAGAGGAGAAATTCCTCTTCTTATAAGCTTTAGTCTTATAACGAGGAGAATATAATATATATAGCGCAGTACCTCTAGCTATCTCTATTACCTAACTAATCGTACTATAATACGTATTCCCTTATAATTTCTAAAGCTTCCCTTTTTAATTACCTAGTAAAGATAGCTACTTAGAGAAGACTATATAACGCTCCTATAGCGCGACGTAGTAGTTAACTAGTTAAGGCCTCTTTATTATATATATTAAGTATCTACTTAAGAGATAAAGAATAAGAAGATATATCCTTAAAATAGACCCCTATTATAAACGGCGTTACGACTATATCGAAGATATCGCTACCCGTAGGCGTAAGATAACTATCTCGTAAGGAAAAGCTTACGGCCCTATAAGCGCGCGTTAAGGAGCTAGAAGAGACGAAACGCCTATAAGATCGCGTTATATAATTAAAGGAGGAAATTATTAAACGCGCTAGTGCTATCGCTATCTATTTAGGGAAGCGTCGATAGTCCTACTCCCTTAAATTAAACGGTAGTCGCGGTAGCGAGGTTAAGATTAAAAATATCGCTTAATTATCTTAACCTACTAATATATAGAAATATCTAGACTAGACTTATAATTTAAAGGACGCCTTTAAGGTAGCGCCTAAACGTTTTCGTCGCGATAAAATAAAGATCCTTTACGCGGTAGATTATATATATAGCGACTATAAAGCGAGATAGCGCCGATACCTTAAAGAATAGACGCCGATCGACCGGACTAAATATAGTATAGATTAGGTATACTTTAAAGAATAGATACTTATCTTAATTAAGGATACTATAAATAAGGAGATACTATTAGCGACGTAATTAAAGGAGGCTTATTAATAAGAAAGCTAGTCCCTCTTAGAGTTTAGCTTATACTTTAACTCCTTAGAGAGGTATTTCGAACGCCTATTAAAAAAGGCGCGTGCTCTTACGTTTTTCGCTAAGCTAAAGCTATAACTTTAAGACTAAATTAACCTCTATTTAATACCTATTTATACCTATTAATAGGAAGAGCTTATATAAGTCGCCTAACGATATTAAGATACTATTACTAATAAAAGGCGATATACTAATACTACTTTTACCCTTAAAGGAACTAAGAATAGAAATAGTACTATACCCTAAGGTAGTATATATAGGGGGAGGAATTAAAAAGGCTAATAAGCTAAGCTAAATCGTTAAGGAAATACTATTAATTTAACCGATAACTAGTAAGCTAGTAATATACCTACTAAGGGCTAAACTAAGGGACGTTATTAAGGAAGAAGATCTTTTACTCGATTAGGAATTATATTTTTCTAATATAATAAGCTAGGATACTTATCTATAGAATATACTAATTCTCTAAGGGTAGAAACCCTAGTAAAGACTCTTAGACTTAATACTATAAAATAAGGAAAAAGTAAGATATTAAGGTAAATACCTCTCCCTTAGTAAACTTAATACTTATAAGATAGTTACTTAAAACTTCTATAATAATATTAAAGCGAAACCCTACTAAAGTCCCTATATACTTAGATACTTATAGTACCGTTAACCTTATAAATATATACTTTACTTAATAGTAAGGATTACTATAAGTAGTGCTATTATACCTTAAGTTATTAGGGCTTAATAATTATAAGGTAAAGGAGTATAGAGTATAGTTAGTACTACTCTAAATAATAAATATAAGAGGCACTAAAAAGATAATTACTTATTTCTATATCGGTACCGATAAGTTAACGCTAAACGATTAAGTACTAATCCTTTTATTAGTTACTACCTTAGAGGATAAACGTATTTATATTATTCTATAGAAACGATAGTAGTAGTTTAAGTATTAACTAGGTAGCGAAACCCTATAAAACCCCTATAGATTCCTTTAAGAATATAGGAATAAAGTAAGGG